TCTACTGTGGATACAACTGAAAAAAATAATGAACTAAATGAAACAAAATGGGAAGAATTACTTAAAAATTCTAGTCCCTTAACACTAACTCACAATGAATACCGTCACAACACACATTTATCAGTTGCAATTTTGTTTATCTATTCTAGTTTATGTTTCAATTTAAATTACTATAAGGTGTTTCCAAAGTATTCTTAAATGCTACACTGCAAGAGCAGGTCAGGAGGCGGCTGAAAGTTCTGCAGGTTATTTCTTCAAAACATCTAAATCAATTTCAAGGAAAGGAAGAGCCCTACATCCAGTAAGTGCAATGCTAGCCAATGGCTGTCATCAGCTGCCTAAACCCTTCTACTGCCTGTGGTTATGTGTGCTCCAGTAGCCACATGCATTAGTCAATCTGAAACAAATGTATTGTATAATGTGTATCGCAGAAAAACCTGTACATAAAAAAAAGGAGGCAAAATTTTCTGCTGTACAAAGTATTTACAGAAATATACAATTCCAAAGAACCAGTTTATTTCACTAGCCAAAGTATTAAACACTAAACAAGACAACCTTGTAGTTTATATATTAGGAATGTAAGTTTTCATGTACAATTAAGAAAACACTTCATTGTAAAGAGGTGAAATACTGCATTGCTAGAAGTGAACAGCGTCACACAACAACCTGAAGTGTCACAAAGCATGGCACATTAACTTCAACTCGGGCTCTCAGGAGAAGACAGATGCAGCTGTTCCACACACTTTGGTGAATACCAAGAAACATACGCACCCAGTCTGCAGTCTTAGAAGTGGAATTCTACAACTTGTCCTTATCAACGATGTCTCCTCATCTCTCCATTAACTAACCAGCTTATTAATTGCTGTAACCCTGAATAACATAAGCTGCTTAGAAGTTACTTGTGCTTCAGTTTAAGTAAAAACAGGGACATCTAAACCTATCTCTAGGCAAATGGGAAAGTCTACCAGAATTGTAGTGTTTGTTCTGTTACCAGGTTGTTGACAATAAGGGGTCAGTAGCTGCAGAAATCTGGGCAGCTGCTGCTGGAGTGGTTTTGTCAGCTATTGCTTCTCCAAATTTCTCCATAAACAGTTTTAATGTTCACTCTTAACTAAAATCTTAACCTTACAAAGGCTGGTAACAAACAAGGTCACCAAACTAACTGAAGGTTAAAGGTTAGGCAACCTTGAGAAGAGGCTGCTGTTTTAGAATTTCAAGCTAGAAAAATAATAGATATAAAAGACTAGCAATTACAGCGATAGTTGTATTTACATGATAATTTCCCTTTGTGCTTGCAAGTTACTGAAAGTACACATCCTTTGGTAGTATTCTCCTAGTCTTAAGTCTTACTTAATGTTAATGTTAAACACATTCACCCTCCTGATTTGCTTGATTCAGTGCAAAAGGCTCATACCTTATTTCCTACATATCATCATTACATAAGTACATCTCTTCCCCATAAATAATAAAAACACTGATGTCAGCCACTTCTCAATGAGTAGTTTTGTGCCTGATGCTTAGGAATCTGAAAGAAAGACAGAGTCTGTCACACAACCGGTAGCCTACAGTGACTATTGCAGCAACTGATAATCCACAAGTACTGCTGCTGTATGGCTTTTGGCCCAGTTTCAAAGACATATTGAAAAAACAAAATGCATCTATAATTCAGACTCAAAGGCATAAAGAACTATAGACATTGCAACACGTACTATCATTACAAAAACTGCCGTAACACCAAACATGGAACTGGTGCTTCTAATTTTAACCTTACATGTAAGCACAGCTTTCTCATGGCTAACATAAGAGAATGCTTATGCTCTTACAATGCTGTTCCAAAATTTCATGCCCTTACTGCAAAACTCCTCTTACATAAGGCAAGTACTTGCAGTTTTGCCTATGCCAAGTGGTAGTGAAAAGCAGAGTCTGGGAAAGAGGCTGTATTTGTTCCCATACTGTGCACTTGTAAAAAGCCCCACATCTCTGTCAGTGGCTAAACAACCAAATGATGCTTATTAAACCAGTGAAGCCATAAACTTCACACGAAGACATAAGCAATCAGGAGTACAAATACTGTAAGTCAAAGAGGAACTTTTCAAGCTATTGGAAGCTGATGCAAAATAATTACAACTCTTGTCTCTCTGCTGTTACTGACAAATGTGAGCCAAATAAGAATTTATGGGCTTGAGGTTTAAGAAAGTAAAGTATAGCACGTTGAGGAGCATAATGTACCGAAGTATCAGTATCAGCATAAAACCTCTTATTTTACTTGCCAATTTAGTGATATTAGTGATATCAATCTGTTGACAAAGTTATGCTGATACTAGGAGGTCTCTGCTGATTAGGTTGTTTGCTTAAAATGGGAAGATCTGTTCTTTCTGTTCCATAGATCAGTTTTTCCTCCTGAAGACTGCAAGCTGAAAACCTGTTTGCCTCTGTACCAGATATACCACCACGATTATTTGGAATTGTGACACCACTGACCTGCTCAAAGGATTTACTAAACACCGTAGTGGTCGTTCTGGCCAGACTATGGCTGCCAGGCTTAGGCAGGGACTGGCTAGATGTCAGTGTCAGTCTCTTCAGAGAGACAAGCTCTAGATTCTCACTCATGGCTCTCTGAGTTTGTTTTCTTGACAAATGTTCTCTGCAGGTTTCGCCTTCTTTTTCTTTTCCTCCAGTTTTGCTTCCTCCAGACCTTCGTTGGCTCTTCCCTAAAAGGTTCTTACTGCTGGTGTTGCTGCTGTTAGATAGGGCAGACTGACTTGTGCTAGAAGTAGCCCTAGAGTAAAACCCTTCATCAGTTTCAGATACTTCTATCAGTTCTTCTTGAATTGCTAAATCATTATTACCTGCATGGTAGAAAAAGAAATGAAGAATTAGCAACTGACTTTCTCACGTGTATTGATTTTATGTATTGCTAATTTTGATATTTTCAAGCATGAAGCCATAAAGCAACAGAAGAGAAAACAGAAGACAAAACACTTACCTATTCCGTTACATTTTGGAATTAAGGTTCATTAGGATATAAAGTTACAGCAAATAATGCTGCATTAACTAGATCAAAAAGCATGCCCACAATCTCATTTTGTAGTGATTTTGGGGAGAAAAGGCAGTCTTGTTAATTCATGCAGGAGATTAGAAACTTATAGATTAGAAGATACCACACAAAAAGTGTGAATCTCATTTTGAGCAAGTGCTCCAATACATGATTTTGCAAAGGTTGTTAATTATAAAGGTATGCGATCAATGCCCCAGGACACCCAATATGGCACCTGCACGCTCAGCAACCCAAAATGCTTTAGGACTGAAAGGTCAACTTCTGCATCATAGGTCTGGTGGTATGAGTTGGAAACTCAAGCAAAACATGAGATCTCCAATATGCCATGAAAGGTGGAATTTGGGACATCTGAGGTACGGTGTGAGATAATTTCACATCCATTTTGATGGATTCTTCATACCATTGATCACTGGATTTTGTAAACCCAATAAATACACTTAATAAACTCAAAGGTATGTTGAGTCTCACTGTGTATTTTCTCCATCTCAAATAAATTTACTTGTAAGTATGTCGGCATTGTCTGTGGCACAGACGAAGCTGTGTGCAATACATGCATTTGTGTTATTACACATGCAAATATATTAACTGCATACTTTAATTCTCCAAACATGCAGCAGTGACCCTTTCAATCAGCAGCAGTACCTTAGAGTGCAGCTACAAGTGCTCTGCTAAAACTGCACTCTGCCAGATGAGTTTATTCCATCCTCCATCATTTTTCTTACAGATTTTTGCCTCCTGAGTTCTGGCATGCCTTTGCTGTCAGTTCTAGGATCTGCAGCTGTTTCCTGTACTCCCTGTAAATGCTGAACATCATTCTCTGCTAGTGCTCTGCTCTTTTCCCCATTCCCGGTCCTCTCTCCAGCCACACTTGTGACACTAATCTCAGGTATGACAAAGTTGCCCAATTCAGTAGCATCATTACCATTCTCTGGTTGCTCTAGAATTAAAGATGGATAAGAAAAAAAAAACAACAAACACAAAAGATGTCTGAAACGAAACATGAAACAAAAGCCAACAGGTACAGATGACTAAAGCATTATGAATTAAAGCAGATGTTCACATATTAACCTCCTGTTAAGTAGCAACATTAGCAAGTACGGAATATTGCTTTATTTTTAAATGGCAGGCTTCAATCTTCCAATTATCGGCCTGCACCCACATACTGGAAAGCCCCATGTTTGATCCTTCAAAACTGAAACTTGAGGATCATGAAACAAACATTCAGAGATTGGCAGAAATCAAGTAACTCTCCAAAATTCACTCTTTATAACTGTATTCTCTATCACCGTGCCAAAATGCAACTTATTTTTACAACTAAATATAAGACTAGAAATTCCATACATACAATGTCATGATGCTGCACAGTGGTCTGCCTGACAACTAATAGTGAAACTAAGTCAACTTACTGACTTCCATTTTCTTTCTTCATTTCAAAAAGTTATTTTCAACCAGAAAGATATTTACAAGCAGGAAAATTCTCTGGTTACTAAAATCAACTTATTCATACAAAATCTATGGAGTTCTACTGCAGTTTTTGCCACCTACTAATAAACCAATGTAAATCTTGACCTTCTCAGCCTTTCTAAGCTTCTTACAGGAGCTTACAACTAAATTAGTTTATCAAAGTTATTTGTGTCACAGAAGTCAGTTAGTAAGTACAGTTGAATACAGCGATGATAAGCTAGGGGCAGGGAAAGCAACACAACTTTCTGCAGCACTGGGGGGAGGAATTAAGGTAAAAACCAATGCAGCTTGGTTCTAGGATGACTACTTTTCATGTGAGTAGGTCATCAACAGCAGATATACAAGTGCTCAGCCTGGCCAAAAAACCATTACATGACAGTCAAAGATTCCTGCAGACATAGCCACAACATTTTCAAGCAAACAGAAAACTTCACTACTACTCAAAGTGTCAGAATAATGGCTGTGTGTATTTATATTTATACAGACATTTAGTGGTAAAACAAATCCCAACTCAAAAGATGCCTCTCTACATTAGCTGCAGACAGGTTTGAGAAGGATGAACTCTTGACAGGAAAAAGAAGGAAACTAAAAATGAGAGATGAAACTTCATGGAAATTCCAAGTGTATGCAAGAAACAAATTACAATCCTATGTCAGCTCCATAGTGTTTGAAGTATTCTCAGTGTCTGTAAGCCATTTCTAAAAGTATTCAGAACTGCTTTATCAGCACTAGCTCTACAACCACAAAACTGCGTTTAGATGACCTGGAGAAGAAAAAAAGAGAAGCCATCAGTTACAGATAGTAACAGTGCATCCTCCATGAAGATGTATACCACGGAAATAAAAGTGAAGAGCAAGAGCTACACTGTATTTTATACAGTTACATATTCTGTATGTGTTACATATGTATAGTATATGCAAACACTGTGGCCACAAACCTGACGAGACTAAAAATGTACTAAAAGCACAGCTCAGAATAAAGCTCAACTGAATTCCTGTGTTTTATTCACAGCACAGCTCTCTCAGACCTGAGAATTAGTCAAGAACCGCCCAGACTACAGTTTGCTACAGCACATGACACAAGTTGGCAGGACAGACACTTCACTGACAGCAAGAGATCCTAAACCAGAGGAATTTACGATGGGATGGTTCTTCAGAGGCAGCTCCAATGCTTTTTAGCTGGAGGGGATCCTCTCCTCCTTCCTCCCTGTGCTGAGGATTCCTGTGCGGGCACAGCATACTTCTAGGTCAAGGGGGCTACAACATTTGGCTTTTTGCTAGCCTTTGGGTTCTCTGCACTTATCACGACAATGAAATAAGTCTCAGAGCTAGGAGGTTATTCTGCCAGGGATGGACATCATTGTCCCCTGGTGTAAGAGCTATCCTTGATTTTACCTGCAAATGCTAAGTATCATGATTCTTTCTAACTAATCAACAACTAATGAAAGTATCTATTTAACAAAGTGTGCTATCCAAAGGAAATGGCACTAATAACTGCTGCTATTAGCCACTAACTTCCTGGTATTTAGCAGAAAACTGAAGTTAGAACTGCTTCCAGGTGTTACTCCTTCTAGCAGCACTTCCGGTCAGTCTTCTATCATCAATAACAAAAGTAACAACTAATCACCATGAACTGCAGTAATAATAATAATGAAAAATTATAATAGCACCATCAAATACAGCCTTTTTTCTAAAAACAAAGGAGCAGAAATTAATGAAGATTCAACATTGATGAGCCTGACTGGTCTAATTTTACTAGGGTGAAATACCTGTGCCGCTCCTATTACAATCTTCAAACCCCTTCCTGCTACCCTGTCAGTACAGCCACAGGCACCTTATTTCAGCAGAACTTCTTCCCAGGATCCATTGACCTCCACATGCACAAGTTGATTCTGCTAGAAACTTCATTTAGAGCCAGGACACCAGAGAGAGGAGAGGGCACAACAGAGATCACTGTCAGTCCCTTCTCCACTAAGGAAAAAAAGCACTATTTAACAGCATCGAGCTCCAAAGAAAGGAGACTCAGTGCACAGCAGAAATCTGAGGAACAGAGGATAGATTGTTGTTGTTGTTGTTGTTGTTGTTACAGATTCTGTCTAACAGCAATATCTAGTTATTGTTTAATGGTGTGTCTTTCTAAATGTCATATCCTACTGTGATACCAGCATTTTACCCATCATTGCTGCATTCCCACAGCTATGTGACCATTACCAAAATGAACTGTGGAAAAACAAAAAAAATCCCACAAAAAAAACCCACAACAAAACTTAGAAGTTTTACTCAGCACAATTATGACTAACCTTTTAGTTAAGTGTTATTAACTAATTCCAATGAAAGGGAACATACCTTTCTCTAACATTGAGCTACAAGAGGAAATTAATGACAAAATGAGATACTGGGTATCTCAACTCCTATTAACATTGGCTACCACAGCATCTACAGTCTCATGGCAGAGATAAGACTACACAGTCCATGTCCTTCATAGTACCATCCCCTCCTTATTTTAAATCTTTAAAGAACATCTAGAACAAACCTTCAGCTTCGTAGTGCTTGGTTTTCAAGATAATACTGCTTCAAGCTGGGTAACTCTGGGGGCTCTATCCTTTGTGAAAGATATATTAATACCCAGTGCACAAGGCAATGTAGCAAAAAGAAAACAAAAGGACACTGCTAAATGCTGTAGAGACAAAACTGAGTAATTGTCAGTTTGAAAGTTAACGTAAATACGCCCATAGCAGTTGAAGGCAAATGCATTCAGAGGCACATTTCTGAATGTTTTGAGTAGCACAACCAACCTTGATAAATGCAGTTCATGATTACTAGCTGCTAAGAATTAATTCAAAAGATATTTCAATCATAGTCTACCTTATTATAGTCGCCTACATCATTTACCTCTGATTGAACAGGCAAACTGTTCATTTGTATTGTAATTCACTGTTAACCACCACAAGCTCAGGATGCATTTCCTGTACAACAATGTAAGCATTTGCAATTAATCACAAAAGCATCAAGCTTATATCCCAAAATTATCATTCATTCCAGATTCCTAAAAAAAAAGTTATAACTATTTCAGGAATTAATACTTTCAAAAGTAGTAAGAAAATCCTCTCCACAGAGGTTCAAAGACTAATGCTTCTAAACCTTGTGTACTACATGAAAATCAATTTCTGCAATTGGGAATAAAATAACATCTTGTCCTTCTTCTCTAGTTTATGTCTTTGTTTTTGTGTTCTGTATCTTACCGATATTTGCTTAGGTCTTCTTACTCGGTCTGTTACATGAGAGTATTTCTCTTACATGCACTATTTCTACACACAAGAGTTTTTCCAGAGCAACCCTTTCATGGGGCAGTTTGGTAGATTTTACATTAGTAAAGAGAGGTTTGCTTAGGTTTGCATAAATAACCATTCATTTAGGTCTTTATGTCCCTTACACACTGCATTATTTTTCTGGTTTTCCTATATTTGTGAATGGAAATGGAGATGCCACTCAAGGCTTGTTTTTAAAACAGGAACACTACAAAAAAACCTAATGCTAGATAGAAGAGCTAATGCTCCTCTTTAAGCTTTATTATTTATAGGCAATCCAATTCAATAGCACTAAATAATTTGTTGATAAGTTGTGGACAGTATCGGTTGACTCTACAAATACTATTCATTTGTGATTGGATAGATCCATTTTGCAAACAAACTTCACCTTCAGTACCTTTAAAGTACCTACCTCAGCCATCCCAATACACCAATTTGATTTTTAAAGAAGTCTTTTTAAGTAACAGCTTTAATGAACAAGTTCCAGGTTTGAGTATCACAACGAGATTAAACGCTGTCGATCTTTTTTCAAAAATGACTTCAATCTAGAGTTCTAGCAAAGGCTGGCAAGATCTAATGTCTGAAAAGTTTTATGGCAAACTGAATTTTTTTTTTACAAATTTACAATTACTCCCACAACCTGCTATACAAATTTTCCTTCACCCACACCCTACACCAAGTGATTTTCTTCCTCTTCATTAAATCCTGCACCACCAAAGCAAATTCAAACTTTTCCCAGTAACCCAACAAAAACACTGACCAGAGCTCTTTTGTTGAAGTCCTTAATCTTTCAGTCCTCATTCCGAAACACTGACTACTCCTCCCTTGGGTGATACTATCTAGATTATTACTGTTTCTTTCAACTTGTCCTGCTTTATGAGACTCCCATAGAAACACAGTATTCCCCCTCATTTCTATGGCTCCTATTATTATTCTCATTTCCCTTTCACCTTACTGTTATCTAGTGCACAGCACGCTTGTCCCACACATTTCTCCTTGAATTTCACCATGCATCACCCACTGCAAGAAGGCACTAACTGAAAAAAACTTCTAGATTTCTGTATTTGCTGAAAAAATTGCATTCTTGTAAGGATGGTTCCAATACTGACTCTGTAACATTTTTATTTCATTTTTTTCTGTAAACACAAAGGGAATGTTTATTTTAACACACTTTCAATTCCCATGAATGAACTAGCAATCAGTACCCCTGATCTGTGTTCTCCTCCACCACCTCATTGAAAAAGTATCAGGACCAGTCAAAAATAGTAGCTGACAAAACTGCCAAGCTTCAGAGGGCATTTACCTATTTAAACTCTGAGCTGTCATACAGTTTTTCTATACCTGGTCAATAATCTCTGCTTAAAAACTGTAAGCCTGAAGAAAGAAAAATAAACAATAAAGACTAAAATGGTCTTTAGCAGTGTTGAGATTTCAGTAATGACTTGCTACTGGACCTCACTCAAATTAAAGACACTAATGTTTTGCCCCTCAGTTATGTCTGACAGTTTTAAGCAGTTTTTAATCAACTGAAAAGAAGTTTAGTTATTTTATTTTTCTTTGCCCCTCACTCCCCTGGCAGCTTACTATCTGTACTACTACCACCAATGAGTACCACTACTGCTCAGAAAGCTTTATCATTATTTCAAAGTCATCTTCTACCAGCATATATATAATAAATAGTATTTATAAACAGTTTTCTCAATGCTTACCTGAATTACCTCTCAGTTCTTTACAAATAACTTGGCAATATTTTTCTAACCAAATTGTCTGTATACTACAATGGCTCATACAGTACACATCATAAGAAACTTTTATGATACTACTTCAAAATCTTTATTGAACCTGTGTGCTGGCTTTGTCTGAGTTAATTTTCTTCATAGTAGCTACTATGGGGCTATGGTTTGGATTTGTGCTGAAAGCAGTGTTAATAACACAGGGAAGTTTTAATTGTGTAAGCAGTGCTTACACAGAATCAAAGCCTTTTCTGCTTTGCACACCACCCCACCAGTGAGTAGGCTGGGGGTGCCCAAGAGGTTGGGAGGGGACACAGCTGGGACTGCTGACCCTAACTGATCAAAGGGATACCCCATGCCACAGGATGTCATGTTCAGCAGATAAAGCTTGGGGAAGAAGAGGGGACTTTCAGAGTGATGGCATTTTGTCTTCCCAAGTGACCATTATGCATGACGGAGCCCTGCTTTCATGGAGATGGCTGAACATCTGTCTGCCAATGGAAAACAGTAAATTAATTCCTTGTTTTGCTTTCCTTGCATGGCTTTTGCTTTACTTATTAAACTGTCTTTACTTCAACCCATTATTTTTCTCACTTTTGCTCTTCTGATTCTCTCCTCCATTGCACCGTGGAGGAGGGAAGTAGTAAGCAGTTGTGTGGTGCTTAGTTGCTGGGCAGGGTTAAACAAGGAAACCAAAATATAATAATTTATCCCTCTAACATTAAATCCAATTTTTATTTAAGTTATTTAAGACAGATGAGTTTCTGCAGTAAAGTTGTTAAATATTTGCTTCACTTCAGCTACTATACACTACTTTTCAGAAGACACCAGGAACATTGGCTTCTCTGAAGCATCAATAACTTTGCACAGCTCCTTTTAACAAGTCTTTTTGTGTTTTGTTTTGGTTTTGTTTGGTTTTTTTAAAAACTATTATTAAGGAAATAAAGAATATACTTATCTGAACTGCATTAAGATTTCCATTCAGAGGTCAAAAAAATAAAAGCCTCCAAACTGCTGCTTGCTTACTAGTAATGGAAGATGTGCAATAACAGAATTCTCAATATTCTTTTAAACACATGTAAAGAGTGAGAATTCATTGCAAAATGTGTTTCTTACCATGTCTTTTCCATCTATGCCCTCGGATAGACATGCTAGTCACAGCATTTCTTGATATTCTGGATGAAGTAGGTGTAATTTCAACCTGAATGCATCTTGTACCTTCTTTACTAGATTTCACAGCACCCTGAGGCAGTGAAGCTTTGATTGCATTAGCAACCTAGAACAGAAAAGATGCAGTTAAGTTCTTAACACGAAGATCCAGATTTCAGAAGAATTCCATCAGGAGATTATTATGACTCCAAGAAGAACAATCCGTAAAAATTCAGTTTAAGGTCAAAAAGCACACTAGCTGTTTGCACTGATTATAAAGAATGCTGGCTGCAATTACCTCTCAGAACTAAGTTACATTTAATATCTGCCACTTTTAAAAACAAAGTTTCTCATTTAAAGATATGGCTATTACTTAACATGAACTTCTGAGTGCTTCTGCACTACCAACCAAGCTTTCAAGACTTACTTTTTCAGTAGGGAATACGATAAAATAAAGTACATTGAAAATACCTGCAGCGTGTGGGTGTGTACTTGCAGATCCAGCTATTCACAGCAGCACAGCCACATAGACCTCATGGGATTTAAGTTCCTGGTGCATCCTGCACATTCACAGGAAACTTTCTACTAAAAAAAACTGAAATACAACACCTACCAGTAGAGGTTCTGGATACAGTTCCAGCTGTGCTCTATACAAAATGTCATCCATAGCTTTACGAGCCAGATCCCATTCTCCATTATAGCTACAAAGGCAAATATATACATAATAATAAGCATCTATATCAACAGATGGGTCTTCCTGATCACATAACCTTCAGAGACCCAGTACTCCTTGAGAGGTCAGTTTAGAGGAGTTGAACTACTTGTGTCCATTAGCAGTAAGCCTGCTATTTAAAGAACTTGTTCTGAAGCAGCATCAATGGAGATAAAGTTTTACTTTCATTGGCCACACTGAACAGTTTAAAAATGACCTAATTAGTTATTGATCATCTATAGTCATGAAATATTCTGAAATTCAAACAGGATTCTTTAATATTACTCCACCTTTTGAGTATTCATGTGTTACTATTTTGTAATTATTTCAGTTAATAAGAGCTTCACACATTAACGTGACTATCTAAGGCTAGATGACATCAGAGAAAGAACAGTAAGACTTTTTTTCTTTAACTAGACCAACGTCAAAACTAAGCATGCAAAAATGCTGACAGCTGACAATGGTTGGAAAAGGTTTTTTATTTTTAAGTATTTTTTTCACATCAACAGTAATTAAGTGCTGTTCTAGCCATCTTTCCCCAATATGACATAGGTAACTTCAGCCAGTTAGTTGGAGAACCTCAGAAGGTTCATTATTGCTGGACACAGGATCTCTCCACTAGAAAATAAAACATTTCAAAGGTAGCATGCCTAAATGAGTATAGAAATTAAGCTGATATTTCTTATTTTTTATCCATATTAAAAAAAAAAAAAAAACAACTTACAAGGCATAATAAATCCCTGTCAGCATTTGCACCATGAATTCAGATGAAACAGGAATCCTACTGTTGACTCCCTTGTACTTTCTCACTTGTTGGCGAGGATATCCACAGACACAAATTCTAAAGAAATCATGCACTGGACATCAGCAAATAATATAGAACCACCTTTGTACATAACTCTACAAAGCGAGGTGTTTAGTATGCATTTTAACTACAATAGACCCACGGGAAGGTATCCATCAACAACCCTGTGCTGCAGCAGACTATTTCCTATTATGGAAGAAGGGTATGCCCTCTACTGGCAGAGTTCAAATCCTCCAAAATAAAGACATCGTAGACACGTTACATTTATATTACAGTGGAACATGAAAGAAAACTGCCAGTAAAAGTCATTCTGACTCTATTCTGAATCAGACAAAAATAAGTTAATGGCATTTAAGGAAATAAAGCAGCATACCAACTATTAATATTACAGACAGAAGCATAAGCGTCATTGCATATAATATGGAAGTTGTATACAAGTTTTCAAGCAGAGATACTAGAAGCACAACATTCACAAAACTATTCTAGAATCCAGTAAAAGTCAGCTTTAAAATTTAGTTCTGAACCAAATACCACATCAGGTTCTGTAGTCAAAACATTTTGGAAATCAAAGATATTGGGTAGTTAATTATTCAGTTCGCTGGCTATTCACTGGACTTCTGGAATGACCTCTAATGACATTAATCAAAGTATTTCCTTTTCCAAAGCATAAACTAGAATGTTTAGTCTCAAAAAGCTTCAATTCTTCAGCTTCAATACCAGAGAAGTTTACAACCCTAAATATAAACTTCTCAGACTGGCCTAAACCAAGATTTAAGTGAATGAATTCATCAATTCAAAATCAAATTTCTAAAATAAAGAACTTACGTTGATTAGTTTTGTACTTTGATTTTCAAGAGTAGCCAACCATGTTAATTTGTAACTAACTGCAAGTTTTTCCCTAAATTTGATGTTGCTGTTGGCTAGAAGCACAGACTATTGAAGCATTCCTTGCTTCATTCAGATTTTAAACTGCAATTTTAATATTGTTAGAAATATATTACTTCAGGTTGCATTACAATTTGTGTCTTATCCAATAGCTTAAAACTCTTAAATTTTTAGAGACCAGAACACAAATAAATTTGTATCATAGAATGCATAGAGTTTGCCTGCAAAGTATACGCGCAGCTAGCTGACAAATATATTACTTCCAGTTAAGTGAATCAAATTGACTCTTCGGTTAGATATGCTTAAGAAGTTGGAACCAAATGAGTTCATCCTCTCATATTTCATTTTGTCCATACATGGTAAAAGTTAAAACATGAAAGCTGTTTTTCTGACTTATCTAGTCCTAAACAACATGAGCCAGTTACTGAAATTACAGTAAGTAATTACAGAATAACAGTAAGTTTTTTCAGAGGAAAATAGTGAACTCACAGTAGGAATATGATCAGTTAACACTAATGTTTATATAGAAGAGACGTTAATACAGACACTCGCTTAATGCCCGTATTGACTGGTTTTAAAGAGTACTACTCTAACCTGAGTTAATTCCTCTAAAACGGCTAGAATGACATTAGCAGAACTGCTTCACTTTCCAGCAGAGTAAGATAATATTCTTATGAAAAGAGACTTAGTAACTGAAGATACTCAAACGCAAAAAATCTGGATTTACAACACTTGAGACCAGCACAAAGTATTTTGTGCTGCAATTATCACATTTACAGTTCATGTTTGTAAATAAGTACTAGCAGCATTTGCTTCTTTAGAAAAGTCATAAAAATGGAGTTAGATATACTAGAAGAATGCACATTCATTGTAGATTGCTCTCAAACAGACCTACCAAAAGAAACCTAAATTCAATGCTACTCAAACCAATTAAAAGGAGTTTGCTATAAATTCTTCTGAGAATTTTGTCAGCACCACATCCAAACAGGAAACTAAAAGATATTCTGGTCTTCTGACACATATTTCCTTGAATCCCTAAAATGCTGTCACAGTGAGGTTTTTCAGAGAGCAGAGAAACAGGGATGCCAAAACAGGAAACAAAGAACTAAGATAAAAGTCAAATTGTATAGGATCAAATAATTCTGTATCTAAACATTCAACACTTTGAAGTAGAAAGACCTGCTGACATTTACTGGTAATTTGCTTGGGGGTTTTATTTGGAGGCTTTAAAAAAATTATTTATCCCAAAAACAATCAAAACATAATCAAGCAGATTAAGTAACATCAGCCTCCTGTTCACAATCCTTAGTATTTAAGTATTTTCTACCTTAAATTTTAGACCAGCATATCTAACAAAGATCTTGTGAAGACTCTTGTAAATAACGCTAAGTGCTCCAATGCTCTCTCACCTTCTCTAACAAGGGAAGAATTGTACAGGCATCCATTTCCATGTTTTGTTTTGTTTGTGTGAGGAACCTGGGAACTACGATTGGTAAAAAGTTGCTATAGTTGACTTCTAGGTCTCTCTTGGGTTTTCTGGGCTAATGAGAGCATTCTAATTTTTCCTTAAACCAAAGTCTGCTTTCAAAAATTTAGGGATAGACATATTTACTGCCAGTTCTTCCTCTTTGAAAATAGAAATTGATCAAAAATAGACACTGTAATTAAAGCTGAGGTGGGTTTTTGTTGGGTTTTTTGTTTTTTTTCTGAAGTAACAGCAGATCTTAGAAATACCCAAAGTATCTGTAAGAATGGATGTACTTCTAGTTTCAAGATCTACTATAATTTCAAGAAAGCTTCAACTTGTACAGCATCCAAACATATTTAGTAAGCTTGCAATGCAAAATTTACCAAGATTTTAGAAGACATTTCTGATTTTATTTAGTTAACACACCTACAACTACGTTCAATAAAAACAAACAGTTCCCTTGATTTGAATTCTTCACTTAACAGCACTGCCTAAAAGCCACGTCATTGCTTTCCCATTTTGAGATCTCAACCCAAAGTTATATAAGAGATACTTTAAAAGCAAATAATACAGCTGTGAATGCTTACAAATAAAAGTCAAGTTCACAAGTAGCTTTTGGGAACTTGAACCTTTACTTTAAAAAAAAAAGTTCAAACTAATTGCATTTCAAGTTGAAAATGCCATTTGAAGTGTAATCAACCTACAGAAATTACCTTGAACAAATCTGACACAATGACTGAAGAGAAACTGCAGGCATGTAGCTTAAGGCAGCATTGTAACAGAGCAGAAGGAAAGTCAGCACTTCAAACCTGGGATTTACAAGAAACATTAGAATTACATTACCGATTTTATTTTCGAAAAGAAAACAAGTTTACACAGAAATTTGCAAGAGATGTTTGAACAGATCTGGTATTTCATTTCAAAAAAATTGACAATTGAGTAGTTTGATTCTGTAAGCTTTTCCTTTTCATGTACTAATATGCGTGGCTAGACTTTCCGCATCTACATTTACATGTTTAGAAACAAAAAAACCCCACCACAAAACACACCATACAGCTCGCCACCTTCAGTCTATAACTATATTCAGAATTATAACAAGATTCATTAGTGATTCTCAAGCAAAATCCTTTTTTACAATTTCACCTGTTCTGTGCTGTTAACATCTCCCTCTGAGGATGAGGTCCACTGTATACAACCCTGGACAAACCATGGTGCGACAAAGCTCCTTCAGTGAGAGCCATGGAGCCAATGCTGGAAGGCTAAAGGAAAAAAAGAGTCATTCGAAACATGTCTGCCTGAAGTCTTGCTACAATGCAAGTAAAAACAGCATCGCCATATTTGCACATAAATTTTCAACAAGCTTAAGGTTATCTGACTGTTTAGCTGTCTTAGATTTGAGAAGTTCTTTTACAACAAATAAGGTATATGGCTTCAGAATAGGAAAAAAACCACATAGTTAGTGCATGGATATTACGAAGTTACAACTATTCAATGTTGAAGCGGCTTCAGAGACTAGTTAGTAGTACTCAGAAGACTGAGAAATATGTTCCTAGACATTATGCAACGCGTTAAAACTAATTTTCATTTTTATTCTTAACAAACAAGCCCCCATAGCATACTGTCTTTCTCAATTAGTAACAACTTTATGCTGTAGATGTCACTTACTTCATGATAGACTGAAGGTTTTGACAAAGATGGAATTGTGAAACTCAGCACTTTGCTATGTCCCTCTTTGTCTACTATCTCCTGGAAAAGACAGAAGATACCAATGGTTACACTGTACTACAGAACCCAGACATTCCAAACTGTTAAATGCCAGATGGGGCTGAATAGATAAAGAAAGGGACAGATAAGGGTACTGTAACAACCCAACCTACAAGCCAGAAATTCTCTCTTTGTTTTCTAACACAGTGCATTTGCTTTGTTTCTGAAAACTATTCAAACAACTTGGAAAAGGACACATGCATTTGCATACATAGTCCATCTTAAAAACACTAACTGAAAATCTCACTACATTCAAACAGTGTTATCTTTTTTTAATTATACGCCGTTGTCTAATTGTGAAGGTTAATGCTTAGTAATTCTTGTCTGAAAACTATTTGCTCATCAAGTAATGACTCTACAAGTAATCTGTTTTGGAAATATAGCTCTGGAATAATTGCAGTCTCATACGGTTTGATGGTATTTGTAAAAGCCCAAGTTTGATATTTCCATACTCAGAGTTAAAAGAAGCATGGATGCAAAGCTTTAGAGAAGCTACACTCCTGCAAGATCCACCATAGCAGTACGTTGGCAGACTTCTCACTCCTGTAAGTTACTGGAAGACTAACAGGTAAGGCAGAAAAGAGACGTGCCTACTTATCACAGCACAGCACTGAAGTACTTCAAATAAACTTCAGAAGCTCTGAAGCAGACCTGACCAATAACTAACACCACAAACAAAAGGTTTTTTTTTCTCTAAATCTCAGCAGCAAATTTAATATATCCAAAGGTAGAGAGATTAGAGAGGATCTTCATTGTATCCTAACACCCATGCCTTGGAAGGCTGAAGGATTAACTTCATATAATAATTATTAAAAATCATGTCTTAAAATAATATGAAGTGGTAAAGGAAGACAGAAGAATCAAAAAGGCACACAGAGCTGTTCTGTCTGAAGAATTACACAGCTCCTCCACTCTCCACATAAACCAAAGATACATTAATTTTCAATATTGCTTCTACATCAATGTGAAAAACAGTTTCCTCAATATACGGGAGAAGGGAAGATAAACTGGTTACACCCAAACTGTAAAAACCTGAAAATGTCAATATTTTGAGTCTTCATTCTAATCAGAGTTGTAATTAAGTCTCAGGAGTGCATTTCAAGATCTGAAGCGTATTAGAAAAAATGGATACCTACAGCCAGGAAGGCCAAAAATCAACTGCATGCACTACCAGTGCATCTCACCAAGCTGAAGGTAGAACAAACCAGTTCATGATCTCAAGGTCCAGTCACAATAGCTGCATACCCCTGATAACACAGTGAATTTAAAAGTATTCTGAGCAATACTTAATTTCAACATTTCCTTCAGTAAGAAACTCCAGGACTCTGTTCAGCAAGTTAATTCCCTCAGGTTCCAGAGACCACTATACATATTTACAGAAGGATTATTATTTTTAATAGGCTACATCTTTCCTCTTGCTTTTGAAACCATAAAGTAGCTACTTAAAGAGAAAAGTATCTAACAGGCCATCTACTACCTTTTCAACCCTGTATACTGAAGAACAGTACCATCTTTAAGTTTCAAACTGTATACAACATCAACAGAGGGGATGAAGACAGCATCAGGAACACAGCACTACATTCGCATAAGCGTTCATTATGTCTTAAAGAAGAGCAGGGAAAAAAATGTTTCCAAAATCAAGTTGAACTACAGCTTCCTGTAAAATTCTGTAATTTTACAGGAATGTAAATGCTGTAAAATTCTTATGACCCCAAGGAGCTGGAGATGGATGGCCCTGTTATTGAGTAAGAAACTGTTCATAGCTAAAAGTTGTTGTTACTGGACTGGTTGCAAGCTTAATTGTAAATGTAATCTATTCTAGGACAAAGACAAGTGACTATAGCCATAACCATCAACCATTATAGATGACTTCATCATGGAAATAAAGGAGTGAACTGTCTTAAGGTGTAAGATATACCATATGCTTTCCAGAAATGCTTTTCTTCTCAGATACAACTAAGTACACAGAAAGCACATGAAGCATGTACTCTGCCAAAAAAACCCCACATTATACAAGGGCTCAGGTCTTTTTAAATAGACTTCCTTGGTAAAGACACTTGAGATCATTTTTAGAAGAAGGATAGGAGCTGCCTTCACCAGATTTTCAAAACAGGAAAGTTCATCACTTCCCAAAAAGCTTTCCTAAAACACCCAGAACATACCAACTACACTGAAGAGAATCCCAATAGACATAATAACACTAAGTTTTTATAACAGCCATAAAAAGACTAAATCCATTTTGCTGCAATAACTGAAATATGGTGCTCTCAAAGGTTCCTTCATAATTCTCTTATTCAAAGCAGTAATTTAGTAACAAACAGTATCTTTTCATACAAAATACGAAAAAGATGTCAAGGTCAGTACAAAATGAAAGGAGACCTTTAATTTCTCAAAGCCAAGCAATCTGTTCAGCAATCAAGCATTAAGAATTTTTTGAAAGTTATTTCTTGGGTTTTCTAGTCAAGATAGTCAAAATACCCTAGAAAATATGGGCAATCATCCCGAAAGTAGTGCCTCTAAAAGCTCTCGAGTAGAATGTAAATTTAATTACCATACCAAGAATTAAGTAACAAAAAAATTAAGAGGACTCCTTTGGCTCCTTCAGCCATTAGTGTATTAACACTTTCCAGGAACCACAAGAAAAGCATAGAAAATATTCACCAAAATAAAAGAATAAAAGTTCACGTTGCAGATTTCTGACAAGGACTTTAACTTGAAGAGTCAAAACTGAGACACTCAATCACTTCTTTTCAATTTTGAAACAAAATTGTTAATTATTCCCCAGTAAAATACTCTGCAGTATCCTCCAAAAGCACACTCATATTCTTAGGCCTGAATAATTACATGCAAATACAAACCAAGTTATAAACTCCTAGGAGAAGAGCCTCTATGCATCCACTGCTATGCAAATCTCTGCTGGCTGAGACAGCAAGATAGCACCACATCAACTCCGGTAGAAACTGCAGTGTAAATCGTAGTAACTGCTCCTCACCACTGCGATAGAACTCAAAGAGCTGATGGCAAACTGGCTCCAGAAGCTGAAATATAAATTACAATTGTGAATAAGTAAAACATGACAAGAAATTGCAGCTTTGTGTGGATCAATCCTTTGGACAAAACCCTACACAATAAATGTTACATTTTAGCTATCAGGGACTGACTGATGCCATAACTGCACAAGTTAAATGCTTTAATGCTTAAAATTAAATGCTTTTCATCCCTTTTAACACACTTTCAGATTATAAAAGCAGAGCCTTCCATTCCATGTGAAGAAAGAATTCCAGTAGCTCCTTTCTCTCATTTTTGGGTTACTTCCTCCAGCCTCAAAGGCATAAACAGAGGATACTTGTTATCATCACACCTCCTACAATGCATTCAGTATCTCTTATATACAGGAAAAGTACCTGCACAAAAGGGCTTTCTATTTTAGAGTTCCAACAGCATGTACACAAATTTCTAGAGGCTTTTACCGACAAGTGAGAAGAGCTGCATAACACTCAAATTCAAACTGTAACAGTAACTTGGTATAGAGTAGAATTATTTCTCTTTCCCACTCTCATTAAATATTCTAGAAACTTTTATGTATTTATAGGTTTGAGACAGAAATGGGAAATCTCAAGAGTAATCTTATAATCAAATTTGTTGAGCTAATAAAAATGGAAGTAATACATTGAACTGGAAGTAATACATTGAGCTAGAACAAGGTTAAAAAACCAAATTCAAAATAATTACGCAATCAGCTTCCACTGTGTTTCTGGATTTAACATGCATTCTTGTGCTACCACCTACTTCTGCTAGAGGACCAAACATAGTGTTAATCATCATGCATCAATGTATGGAAGTTATATTTTTATTTTGTCACCTAGATAAGAGATTTCCTAACCCAAGCAGAAATTACTGTCAGAACCAGTAACATCAGCTGAACTGGACACTGAATTCTCAAGTGAAAATTCGAAAGTACAGACTCAGAAATACTTTTTGGCAGCAAACACAGCAAACTGTCCATAAGAGTTTAGAACTATAAGAGGATTTCTTTAAAAAGTGAGGTAAGGAAAAGAAAAAGGCAATTTTCCATTAAATCTTCCAAATAACTTATTTGCAAGTAAAAACAAATATGAGGACCCTATAATTTAAGAAACTACTCCCTGAAGAAGAACTCAGGCAGTTGTAGCATTTATAGCAGCAAACTTCACAAAATGAAATCTGAGATTCCAGCTATTTAGAATTAATTTTATCAGCTCCAGCTCGTATATTAAAAAAGCATGAAATAAAATGTGATATTCTCCATTTGCAAATCTCTGAAAGGCAGGATTCAAATGTAACATATCTAGAGGACTAGTTTTGCTACCTTGTTTCTAACTGCCAAGGTTTAACATCTTTACAGTTCATCTACATGACTCACAGAAACAGACTCTATATTAATTTCAAAACCAGGATTGCTCATGCTAGACCTCCACTGAAACGTAGTCCTGCACAAAATCCTCAAAAGTTTCAATCTGAAAATGATGGAATCCAAACAAAAGAGACACGCATTTTAAAGTGTTTCAGAGATTGCACTGATAAAAGATACAATAATCATTAGAATTACCCCTGCACTTCAGAAAGCAAAGTATTATTCAGCACCTTTCTGAAAATTCTTTAAAACTGGAATATAGATGTGCACTTCATTGCTAGTAACATGCCGATCACAAGTTCCATTTTATTCTAACTACAACTCTGTTTTTCTGCTATTTGCCTAAGACACACCTTCAGTTTTCAAAAAGGTAAAGAACCCATTCTTCTCTATTTTCCTCCCTTTATTGCAGCAAAGGAGGCAATACCAGCAGAAGAGCATGCTAGGAAAAACAAATAAATTGCTTACTTTCCTACGTTTTTCCTCCTGAATACAAAGGAAGTTGAGTCAACATTTTCTACCCCACAAAGTTATTTCTGAACCCAAAGGATCTTAACAGGTTTTCGTTCTTTATAAGTAATCTGATCCATTAAAAACAAACAAAAAAAAAGGAATCCCAGAATATTAGGAGCTGGAAGGGACCTCGAAAGATCATCCAGTCCAAGCCCCCTGTCAGAGCAGGATCACCTAGACCAGGTTGCACAGGGACGCGTCCAGGTGGGTTTTGAATGTCTCCAGAGAAGGACACTCCACAACCTCTCTGGGCAGCCTGTTCCAGTGTGCTGTAACCCTTACAGTAAAAAAGTTTTTCCTCATGTTCAGATCGAGCCTCCTGTGCTCCAGCTTGCACCCATTGCCCCTTGTCCTGTCATTGGACATCAGAGAGAAGAGCCTGGCTCCTTCCTCCTGACACTCGCCCTTTACAAATTTATAAACATTAATGAGGTCTCCTCTCAGTCTCCTCTTCTCCAAGCTAAAGAGACCCAGCTCCCTCAGCCGCTCCTCATAAGGGAGATGCTCCACTCCCTCCATCATCTTTATGGCTCTGTGCTGGACTCTCTCCAGCAGTTCCCTGTCCTTCTTGACCTGAGGGACCCAGAATTGAACACAATATTCCAGATGCGGACTCACCAGGGCAGAGTAGAGGGGAAGGAGAACCTCTCTTGACCTAACATCTCCTCTTCTGATACACCCCAGGATGCCATTGGCCTTCTTGGCCACAAGGGCACATTGCTGGCTCATGGTCATCCTGCTGTCCACCAACACTTCCAGGTCCTTTTCTGCCTGGCAGCTTTCCAGCCACTCGTCCCCAAGCCTGTAGCGCTGCATGGGGTTATTGCAACCGAAGTGCAGGACCTGGCACTTGGCCTTGTTGAAGCTCATACAGTTGGCCTCAGCCCATTGATTCAGCCCATCCAGGTCCCTCTGCAGAGCCTTCCTACCCTCAGGCAGATCAACACTCCCTCTCAACTTGGTGTCATCTGCAAACTTGCTGAGGGAGCACTCAATCCCCTCATCCAGATCATTGATAAAGATGTTAAACAGGACTGGCCCCAAAACAGAGCCCTGGGGAACACCACTTGTGACTGGTCGCCAACTGGATTTAGCTCCATTCACCACAACTCTCTGTGCTCGGCCATCCAGCCAGTTTTTAACCCAGCAGGAACTTTTAGCTTCTGATAGATATAGCTTCTCTTTGGAAAAATCATTTGTGAAAAATCTACAGCAAAGGAAAAAAAAATCATGCCAAGCTAGACTAGCCAACAGTTTTAAGAGCAAAATATCAAAGAGTTTCCTAGAAAACTTTACCACACAAGTACTTTCCATCTTCAGCTTACATATTTCACACAATTTGCATACTTCCTTTAATGAAGTATCAGTTCAGAATGATGTACTTGAACTTTAAAAGGCACATAAATAGCTATGACAGGTATCCATGTACACATCGTTATCTCAGTTGAAACAGCTTGATATCAGCACATTTAAATGTGTAATCTAATCAGTACAAAAACAGACTTTCTTCCTCAAAATGCCACCACATGCTACCGAAACACACTAATGATTGTTGTTGTTTAAAGATGCTGTTTTGCAATAAAACAGTTCTAAAAAGGTGTGTAGACTGAAACAATTTTTAATGCTGCAACAGAAGCATGTCCAAGCAATTTCATCCCTCTTCCTTTTAAGCTGCATCCAAATGTGTTTAGACACTGCAAACACTTTATTTCCTAATGCAAATGCCTGCGTGGCTACTATCTGTAAGGACAGCAACAGAGCTTTAGGTAGAAAGGAAAAAAAAAGATCTTGAATTTGTGAAGAAACAAACTTCAGATTTTTTTTTTTTTTTTTTTTTACTGTTGGACTTTTGAGTCAGTTAAAAGTGCTTTAAATCTTCACATCTACTGAAGACTCTCCTTGTATTGAATTCTATTTTTCACCTATCAATGGCCCAGGAACCTCAAAAATAACTGAGTCTCTACTAATAAAGCTACTATAAATTGGTTATTTCTTTGCTATAGTAAACTAGTTCATTTGCCTTTCTAACTGCTAGCTTATAAGTATTTTCACAATGTGGATAGCTCCCAGCAGCTACTTCCATGCAGTGCCAGGTATTTGGAGAACAGTCCAAAAAGATTTCAGGACTGTTCTCCCAAGACAGCACAACACTCGGTGTCAGCATTGGCTTTTCATTTCAATTCAAAGTCTCACTAACAGGGAAGTCTTCCATACCTTGCCCCCAGAATTATCCCAATAACCTTTCTGAGCAGAATTTGCAGGGCCTTGACCACCCTGCCACTAAGGGCCCTGAGAAACCTAGTGATAGTCAGAAGTAGTAAAAAAGAAATGAACATATGAAAGTATCAATTTGGCTACCAACAGGGAGACTCATCAGATTAATTTACATGTTGATATGCATTCTGAAGCCCAGACAGGCTTGACTCAGTTGTTGGAATGACTCAGAATGGCTTTCTGAGCAGCAAAGTAAAATTACATTTCTTCTTTGCTGGACAACCTGGGAGTTTCTCTACCAGCATTCTTTCTAAAAATGTGTATACTGAAAGCATTTTATCCTCTGACCACTTCTGGGATTAACTCAGACTTTGAAAAGGTTCCTTATGTTGGGTCTTTTCAGAAGAGGAATTAAGGACTTGGTGCAATTTTCAAAGAATACACAAAGGTTTGCTGGATGGTAGAAAGTGAGACAATACAGACGACAACTAAAACCAGCTCAGTATGCTCTGCAGTCAACTGGACACTAAAGCAAGTGCAGTCATAGGGTATGGAACCATTCCTTGCAGAGTTACGGAGCAAACCTGGCCCCTTTCCCCAGGTTTGGTGGGTTTTCTGGGGGGAGGGGGGTTGTTTGTTTGGGGGTTTTGGGGGGGAGGGGAAATTGTGGGTATTTTTCCACTCATTTCAGAACAGGCACGTCCACTGTATAAATGCATATATTGCATGTATTTAAAAAAAAACAACAAAAACCCTTAAACCTAAGCAATAATTTAAAAGGATCACAGACCTAGTGGCCAGTCCGGCCCTAAACCACGACACTAACACTGTTCTCTTGGGTTGTAATAGACCAGCTTCTGATACCTATAGATCCACCTTCAAGTGACACTGAATTACAGAAATAATTCTGTCAGTCTCTAACATCTTTTCAATTTCTTAACATATTTTTCAACTCTATGTCCAGGTCCTGAAGCCCATGAATATCATCTTCAAGTTTAGCTATGACCAGCAGGTTATGAAACTCACAAATTGTTTCCATGGTAGTATGTCATTGCTAAGAACAAACATTTTGACAGAGACTCTTCATGTAGTTCACATAGTCAGAACACAATTAACTATCATGCAAGGTCTTATTTTATTCTGTTGGTGCTATGCCAGACATTTTGCACAAGAGATTCGATATACTCACTTCACTCTGTGGCTCCTGAATTACTTTGTAAAGAGATGAAATCAAAGCGCTCTTGTCTTTCAGGTTTGTAGCATAGCTGGATATGGATGCTCCTGGCAGTGTCTGAAATAAACACATAATTACTAAAAAAAGCAATTTTTATCATTAAAATATAACAGCTATTTCAACAACAATTTTCCACTACAAGTTACTATTTATCAGTTTACAATAAACAAAAACTTGTGTCACAAAGAAATCCTTACTATGGAAATCACCATGTTTTAAAGACAGCAAAACTGTCAGAAGACACTTTGCATTTTATCATTTTGCAGACAGCTTCATACAGAATGTAATGACAGTACAGGAAATACATAAAAACCAAGAGTTTCACAGGTGCAACCCCACTTAAATTTCACTGTGAAATTTCAGTTCTGTGAAACTTAGCAGTTTGCAGATCCATACTACAAAGAGTTTTCTCCAGACTGACTGTACACAGCTACTGAGCATATTATTAGAGGATATAGTATTATTCTGAAAGAACAAATTCCAGTTGATGTGAACAGCTTTTCTCTAACATGAAACAGATTTTCTGCCAGTACTTAAGAGCGTAAAAATCTAATCTTTTTAACAACTCTCTGGAAGCTGTACATTTAAACTTACTATTCACAGCTTTTACAGTATTTCTTATCTGCAGTCCTTCAAAGGAGCTCATACTTAATTGTACAGAGAAAAAGACACATTCCCAGTGTATCTAAGCAGATCAGGAGTAAAATGTATAGACAAGTCTAATCTGTACTTTAACCAGCAAGACCATTCATCTGTGATACACATTTTCACTGCTCCATATCAGGAAGTATTTTTCTTCATTTTCTATAGCAATCAAGCACACTTGCATACTGCTCCAGCAGTGATTCAAACACTACTGGCTAGATATCTTACAGTACATTACCTTGAACTCTGATAACCACTCCTCCACAACCCCAGTATCCACACCTAACATCTTCCAACATTCACTCCAAAACCTGCAACCTGAAAGAATAAGCAAACACAGTGTGTGAAAACTACGTAGACATTGCATTAAGTAGATGATGAAAATTAAGTCCCTGGGAATATTTAAAGAATCTTATATTACTTTTACTTGTTAACATTTCACAAGCTGACGTTACTTTGAACTTTTATTCTACCTCACTTAGGCAAGCTGCTGGAAGCACTAAGCATGGGAGTCTTCATGTACTTAATAAATCCCAAACATGTATTGCGTGGGAAGCTCAATAAGTCAAAGATTTGCAGAAATGGCATTTTGAAAACAGAAAATATTACCTTCTCAATTTCAATTTATTCTTCAGCTTACAGAACTTGAGAGAAAACTGTACAGACTCACTGAAGAGAAACGACTGTTAAAGTTTTTCCAAGTCAACTGCTATCCCAAACTTGGAAAATGTCACTGAAATAAAGGCCAATTGAAAAACTTTCAATCCTCCCCCACCGTGGCAACTGCAAGACAACGACCCTGCTGCCTCAGCATGTAGCCTAAGATGGACTGCCCTGCCCAACATCCTACACAATCTCAGACAGAGCAAGATGATCAGTACTAAGACTTGAACACAACAGATGCAGAGTGGCTTTTAAAACTCAGATCTGATTTCTCTTAGTTTTTGATAAAACACTTCAAAACAACTGTCCTTTGGAATGGCTCATTCCTTTAAGTGTTAAAAGTTAAACGAGCATGTGGGGGATTCTCTAGGCATAGGTAAACTATTCAAGAATACACATTAGCTTATCCAAATTGTGACCATGGATTTCAAACACTGACAAAATTAAATATTCATCTGAAAAAAACACCAAAACAAACAAAAACACCAAAACAAACAAAAACACCAAAACAAACAAAAACACCAAAACAAACAAAAACACCAAAACAAACAAAAACAAAAAACCACAAACATGGGGAACCAGGTAGGGCAGTCTCTTCTTACAACCCCAGAAAGATATGCAAGTCTGTAAAAAGCATAAAAGAACAGTGCTTTCTGAGGATGAAAGGGGAACAAGGTAGGGCTAAGGAATTCTAAGCCACACAGGGCTAGATTTAATTTCTGGTGTAAACAGCAGTAGTAGCTACAAACACCTAGGAGGTAGAAAGCAGCAGCAGCACCACTAAAGACTTCTCCTGGCAGGTAGAGGGTTAGGGCGGCTCCATGAGAAAGATACCAGCAACATCAGGGGAGGTAGATGACAACCCACAGCCAAGTGAGGAAAAGGCAGACTGGGTTGGCAAGCAAAGGTTACGGAGTGATGCAGGCAAAGAAAGACATCATAAATGAAAACAAAGCTAAGCAGGACCCTACCTCAAATATAAACACATATAATGCACTGCCTGCAGGACAGCATGATGGGGGAAGCTTCAATACCTTTTCTTCTAAACCAGCCTGACTGGGTGTCTCTGTGACGTGCCCATGTGCCAACAGGCATGCAGTTTGGCAACCATACAGGAGGAATTAGAGGTCTGTGTGCAGTTGCTGGACTATGATCTCAATGGGATCACTAAGACACATCAGCATAGCTCCTGTGACCAGACTACTGCCATGGCTGGATATGGGTTCTTTAAGGATAGCCTGGGAAGGTGAGGAAGGAATACTGCCCTTTAGCTGGGTGAGCAGGAGGGATGTATGGAGCTCTGCCCTGCAATGGACAATGAAACAGGTGAGAGCTTACAGGTGCCATATGAGAGGGCAGATCAACATGGGTGACATTGTGGCAGGTGTATGCTACTCATCACCTGATCAAGATAAAAATATATGAGACCTTGTTAATACAGCTGAAGAAGTCTCACATTTACAGAAAGCTGGTCCTCATGTAGAACATGACCTACCTTGTTATCTCCCGGAAGAGCAACACAACAGGGAACAAGCAACCCAGAAGGTTTTTGGAGTGCATTGATTATAACTTCCTGAAAGAGGTTACTGAGGAACCAACAAGGGCAGCCACTCTGCTGAACATTGTAATTACAGACACAGATAAACTGGGCAGTGACATGAAGGTGGGGGCAGCCATAGCTGCAGTGACCACAACACGAGTAATTTCATGTAAGGGTTATTGAACACTGCAATAGGTTGCTCAGGGTGGCTGTAGAGTCTCTGTCCCTGCAGATATACAAAACCAGCTGGACAAGATCCTGAGCAACCTGTTCTATATTTCCCTCCTTCAAGCAAAGGAGGCTGGACTTTATGATCTCCAGAGGTCCACTCAAACCTCATCCATTCTGTCATCCTGTACCAACTGAAAAATAGGAAGGATTGTCATGAAAGAAACTAATCTAGCTAAATACCAACTCTTACTGACGAGCACTGATGGTCTTTAAAGATCTAACAATGATGATATGGTCTCTGAATGATATCAGTTGTGTGTCAAATCCTGCTGTGAAGTGAGGCTTTTAAGGATAATACTGTGTGCTAACAAACTCAAAAGCCAGCTCTGCTACAACTATTGAAGTAAGGACCTCAGTCCTTACAAAATCACATGATCTACCAGCCCTACTTCCATTCCTGTGAAGGCAAAGGCTTTTGCAATGTCTCACGTTTCAGCACGGTTGACAATAGTAACCGCTCTCTACTAAGCCCCATTAATAGCACAAATGCCTGTGCTAATATTGACTGTTCAAAGCAAGACACCCATGATTTAAAAAAGTGTCCACAGGAGTCCTGGATACTCCGGTCCATAGCTGGTGACACATTTATTGAAGAGATGCACTTTTTTTTTCCCCACCTATTTCTACTGATTCATCAAGCATCATTTTCAGAATAAAGGCTCCCAGAGAACATAGGATTCAGTTGACCAGTAAAACCAATAAGAGCATCCTTGGCTGGTGTTAGCCATTGGACTCAGAGCAATACTTCTACCTTTTATGACTGTGTATTTGAAGACAAGTCTTTTTTTTTGGCAAAAGTATTTTTAAAAAGCATAAAAAGCTGAACTAAAAGAAAGAGGACAAAGTTTTTGCTAATCAGGTGTTTGATTTTTAAAGTAGCAGAGGAATTCCACTGAGAGTTAAGGCAGCTGGGATGCACAGAAGATTGTCCTTACTTTACCTTCATGCAGTAAAAAAAAATGCATACACCCTTTTGAATATAGTTTAACCTCAAGCTCATATGCATCCATAGCAATACACATTTGAGTGTCACAAATAAGAACTCTAATTTTATAGTTATTACCCTTGAAGACAATGATTATCTATTAGACTGATCTCTCCCTAGAAGGAAAAAAATTCTACACATCAGGTGTGTGGGATCTATTAAAACAAACAGACAATCTACTGATTTGCTGAGGATTGCCACATTTTGTGCCAGTGAATTCATAGGTCAAGTTGGACTACAACAATGTACAGACAGAATCAGGAAACTCAAGACTGTTCTAAAGGAAGGACTGACAAATTTCAGTTAATAATACAATTTTTTCTGAAGCGCATAGAAAGTTTACAAAAAGTAACCCTAAAATTGAATTTTTAAACACAAAGCAGGTCAAAATAACCCCTAACATAGATCTTACAAAAAATCTCAAAAGGATTTTAAACAGCATGCTTTAACTACAGCTCTGTTTGAGTGGATTCAACTGCAAGATATAGGCCACTGTAAGCATTAGATGCCCCAGTCACTATGGAATTAAAGCAACATCAAGTAGATAAAGACATGCTACTTTGAAAAAACCTGTAAAATTATATTGAGAATGTACTTTATAAGCATGAAAACGATAATGAAAATTCAAAGAGCACAGCAAGCGCTACATAGCACTTCCCCTAGGAAAGTCTTTTAAGGTACATCAGCATGTAATTCCATTTGAATAGACTTTTTTTTACTTGCTCTGCTCCTCTTAAGTCTCTGCAAAGAGTTCAGAGGAGTGGAGTTTGAGAATTTCCTTAAAAACAAATTGATTTTGTCCCCACAAATCAAACAATACTTTGACTAAAACTGACGAGCAGCTTCAAACGTCCACATGCTTCTCATTCCAAGAGACGAAGAGGCAAAGCCATTTGGATGTTCTGATGGAGGACAGATGCAGGAAAGAGGAAAAAGTCTCAAAGATTGAAATGATACCACAGAATTATTCGTGATGCATCTCAGTAACAGTCAGATTGTCACATATTAGGAAAAAATTATTTACTGAAAGAATGGCCAAACACTGGAACAGGCTGCCCAGGGAAGTGGTGGAGTCACCATCCCTGGAGATGTTCAAAAGGTGTGTGGATGTGGCACTTCAGGACATGGTTTAGTGGGCATGGTGGTGTTAGGTTGATGGTTGGACTCGATCTTGGAGGTCTCTTCCAACCTTAATGATTCTGTGATTCTGTGTGTGATCTCTGTTGATCACTTATTAGACACATATATATCCTTAGCTTATATCTTATTTGAATTAAAGCAACTTTAGTTCACACTCTCTCATTGCAACTCTTATCACATTACTTCACATTTGCCACACAATGAAAGCATGCATAGCTACTGCACCCCAGCTAACACATGGCAAATTTATCCTTGTGTTTATGTCTTGTGAGCTAAAAGCACTTTGGAGTGCTTTCCACATGACTCTTAACTGGATTAGCAGCAGGAAGTATGATTTATACTAAACAACAATTAACAACCTAGCTTTCCTAGTAGAACAGCTATTTAAAGTAGGAAAACATAAAGCCATACAGCCCTTACTAATCTCCAACACTGGAACCCTAGGACATATGCAACTTGAGCTCCAATATCAGCAAGAGGAGAATAAGTCTAACTCACATTCCACTCAAAGTCTGCAATCCATTTTGATATAGCTTGAGGTAACACTGTTCTCTGGATCTGTTCCCAAGTAATAAGCAGCCTCTGAAAGCTGTAAACTGATCTTGCTCTATTCTAATACTATGACAAAACTCTCCTTACATAGGAGATACCAGTTTTTGCTTTGTTTCAAGATTAGTAGTACAATTAGAGTAAGATCCCAAGCAAGTTTATCTAACAAAAGCAAGTCTTGTTTGGAAAAGGCTTCTACAGAGA